CGAAAGGCGGATCAAACTGGCGGCCTTCGTTCCCCCACCCAGGTAAGTGGTGTGTTGTATATGTCTGGATAGTCGTCTTCCAGCTTCAGAATGGCTCAAACTTGTTAACTTTGATAAACTTTCAAAACAGTTCCTAAATTTTTTTTCGGGACTCGTATTTCTATCTGATTCAGTATTTGTAGCCACCAAAATTTCTCGATTGTGTTGCGCACCATATTTCGGGTTCGCGCAGGATCAGGCAATATATAGGTCGTCGGCGCCGTGCTCGGAGAGCAACGCGGTCCATCGAAGACAGTTCATGACTAGAAGCGGCGCAGAGAAAATACGGCCTATAGTACTCTGGCCATCTTGTCGGAGCTCAAGTACAGTGAAAAACCCCTAGTTGATTTACCATTCTTATTTTAGCGTTGGATGGAAGAGCAAGCGCAGAAGCTCGTCGATGCTACCGCTCGAGCATTTACTGGCGGAAATACAACCAAGGCGATGGGCAAACCACTGGCCATGGGAGCACCGATGATGCCAGCCATGATGGGGAGAACACCCATTATGAGTGCTCCTGTTGCTGGAATGCGTGGCGCAATGCCACCTTTCGGATTTCCTGCAGCGGTAAGTTTCCATTTATGAAGTTAGTGATTCAATCATGTCTCAGTTGCAGATGCCTCCATTCGGAGTTCCCATGGGAATGCCTCCAATCCGCCCTCCTGGTCCTTTCCGAAGTGGTCCAGGTCAATAGACGATTTCTCTCTGTACATCGGTTTCCATTATTTCGATTCATCTGGATCCTATCAGTGTATTTTTTCGATCATATCGTTTGTTTGGGTTATAAACATTTGAATGAATGTAGCTTTTCATTGCAATACATAAAGTTCTCGTAACAGTCTTGTACCATATTTGAAGTGTTTTGAATGCTAAATTTTGTACACTTATATCATCGTTCTTCGAGCCGTTGCTCGCAATCATTCAGCTGAGTTTTCAAAAATGCAACTCAGGCGGATCACTTGGCTCATCGGAGAAGAACAAATCAGGCAAGAAGCTGCCTCAAAGACTTGTACCTTACTTGAGCATGGGTGATGAGGAGAAGGGAAGACTAAGGCGAGAAATTGCCTCGTCCTTTCGAATCAACGCTTTCGAACCTAAGAAGTGAGATGCACTCTTTTTGATTATACTTGTTCCCAATGATATTTTAGGGAAGTGCTTAACACATGTGTAGAAGCGCTATCCAAGTACGACAAGGAAAAGAGGCAAAAATGGATGAATAAGATACTTGAGACGTTGAGGAAACAATCCCGTACGTTTTCATCTAGACATTTCCTAAGGAGAAGGTTATTCAGTGGCCGTGGGCATTTGTTATGAGGCTTATCATTCATTCTCTGACTAGAAGACATGAGCAGCTTTGCTTACCATCTGGTTAACAAGTTCATGAATGCGTTTAAACTCAGGAAAATTACTACTAGGAATTCTAGCAAGAACATGTTTGAACTCGATTTGTTCAACGAGCTCGGACATTTTCTCAAAGGCAGCGTTCGGGCAGAGAAAACCGCTTCAGAAGTGGCGATTTGAACTCCTCGGCAACCTGCCCGCTCCTCCAATCAATAGCCAAACTACGTATGTCGCACTAAGTCAAAATGTAGGATCAAAGACTATGCGTCTCAACCTTGGCGGCAGGTGTCAAAATTCGAATCAAGGGCTTTTGAAAAAGGCCGTTTTCGACATCTTCGCCCTCCCCAAGATGCATTTTCAGAATCAGCGGGAAGGATAAGTAAGCGAAAAATTTCGTTTGAAACTGTGTCCGGACGCTGACTTCAAACCGTGGTAAATCAGTGAAACGCGTTAGAACTCATTCTTGGGGACTCGCCGTACTTCGCCCCAAAAAGCGCGCAAACGCGCGCAAAAGCTTGAGTGTCCGGGCAAAAACTCGATTTTGAGATTTTGTGCTT